CTGGCAACCTGCTACATTCATGTCCTCAACGAGTAAGCAAGCGGAGCGACAGCTGGAAGACGGCCGTGTGATGCGCTGCCCTTTTTGACCATATCCTGCCACGGTCCATCGAACCACATGAAGGGGATCAAAAATCGACTACAATTGACACAAAAACGGACGGAGAATCTGCTTCTCAAAAGCAAACGGATGCGGAACAACCACAATTAGGACGCTCAAAATGCATGTCCAAGCCAGTTGATCGGTATTAACCTGGCGACTGCAGGGAAAAGAGGGGTGTCACATATGCAACTGAGTACTGATTCGTGAAAACAGGCGCTCACATGATTGATTGACAATGATCTTGCCTTACCTTTCTTATTTCATTCGTTTTTCTTTCCAGAAGCTGTTAGTAAACGGTTCTATACTACGCGTGCGCGTTCTGTTTCGTCCATCGGCTAAGGGCTATACTTAACAAGACAATAGTCACCGCGGGAGATAGACTAGTCGGTAATTTCTAATGGTTAGTCAGTAGTTACAGGAACTGATGAGCTATTCGTGTAATTCTACAACGGCAATTATTGCTTCTATACGGCGAAGAACATATCAAAGCTTACGTTTTTTCTCCCCTTTTGTCCCGTTCCAACTTCACTTTTATCCCCCATGTTTTCAACCTCCCAATTAGTGGCCCTCTTCCACCATGTTCTAATAAGCCTTTATCTTCTAGTTTCAATTCAAGTGTAAACGCGGAGCGTTACCCTTGCCCAATTGACAGGCTCTTGTCTAACCAAGGGATCAAGCCCAGTTCATCGACTTCTCTTTGGAGCCCCCTATCATCTCCGAGGTTTGCATGCCTCAAGGTACGCACAAGAATACAGATCAGTCAACAGGTAGCACTTACCCGAACATTAGAGACCTCGATCGGTATCTACCGCCTATAGGAAACCCGCCTACAAGACCCGAGCAGTGCTTTCTCATTACGCATGTCTGGAAACGATGCAGCTTCGAATACCGGCCAAGCCGGTGTTGGTATTGCCCTGAGTCCTCGGGCTGAAGCTGCTCTAATTGACCAGATCCAAATCAGTAGACGAAGGTGTGCGGTCCGATTGACTGGATCGTTAAAGATTTCGAAGTCACGCGAGACTGATAGGCGTCTGTCATCTTTGTCTAAGCCCCCACAAGCTGTAGGGATGGTTCGGTAAAAGATGACTTCTATCATCAATTGAACGAGCTTCTTCGCCACAGAAGAAGCACGGACATTGTAGTGCTGGCGGGGGATCTAAACGTTCGAGTTGGAAAATTGTCCACTGACGAGCCGCATCTGGGCGGCTAACATGGTGCAGCCCCCGTAATGATAACGGTGAGCGACTACTTCATTTGTGTGGAGATGCTCGCTTATTTCTCGCGAGCACTTAGGTCCGACACAGCACCTGCCGGAGGGTGAGATGGTTTCCACCAGTATTGGACGTAAATCGATCACATTGCGATAAGTTACCGCTGCGTCCAGAACTGTCGCTCGATTTGGAGCACATGTTTGGACACTGATCATGCACTTGAAGATGCCTTTTAGCGGGCACCCTAGACGACACTGTGAGCGCACAGACACCAGCCAACTGGCGAAGCCAGATGTTTTGAATGCATATCGAAGTACGCTGGCATTTGGATTAAATAAGCATTCACTGGATACAATTGAAGGTCAGTGTTCGCATGCTCACCAGGGTTTGCAAACATCAGGAAAATCCTCATGCGGTAACTCCACTAGCCAAAATAGACATTACGTCCCTTCGCAGCCTCTGAAACTTATCGACGCTCGCCTACACATTTCGGCTGGAAGCGAACAAAATGAGACCCGCTAAGACCTCGGGGAAAAACTGTGTGTTTGCTTGAAGAAAGAGGCCGCGAATTCTGGTGGTCTCATCTTGCGTCGGAGATGAAAGTGGTCGCTGTCCTTGGTAACCATCGTAGGTTATTCCGTCGGCTACGGGTAGTGGGTAACAGGAAACATGAGGTTAATGAAACTGTTTGGCGAGAGTGGACAGTCAATCCACAACTTCTCGAAACGTTTGGAGTTTTGGGCTGAGCACTTTGAAAGACAGTTTACTCGGCCGGAATTGTCAGTTTTCTTGCCGGTCAGTGATCGCCCTGCTCTCTGGACTGTCCCTTTTCATCCACCCTCTCGCTCAGAAGTTGCAGATGAGGTTGCTTGAGGTTGACTAAGGCCGCAGGACCAGGTCATCTCTCCAGTCCTCTTCAAATTCGAAAGACCTGCTCGTGTGGATGATTTGCACGAGTTACTAGTGAAACTGGCAGTAGAAAACTGTCCCAACCGACTGTTATTGTCCCGATCTTTAAGAGAGGCTCACTTTCAGTATGCGGCCATCATAGAGGAATCAGTCTGATTTTGATCGCCTCCAAGTTACTTGCCTCAATCATCTTTCACAGTTTGATTGATCTCGTGAAAGCTGGATTCGTGAGAAGCAGGCCGGGTTTCCTCCAGGTCGGGACTGTATCGATCACACCTTCACTTTATGTCAATTGTTGCAGCACCGTCACTTATATTGGAGGCCCACTGTTTTCATGTTCCTTAACATCAAATGTGCCTTCGATTCAGTGGATCGACGTACCCTTTAGGACTGTCTGCTAACGAAAGTTGTGCCCGAGAAATTTGTAAATATTATACGAGCGCTATGTGCGCGTAGCTCGGGTAGAGTGAGGGGTTACGGCAAGCTGTCGCCTCCCTTCAATATCTCCAGCCATGTAAGACCAGGATGTCCGCTGTCACCTTTCTTCCTTAACCGCTATTGCCGAAGTCATGATGATTGTGTTCACAGGACACGACTTAGGAGGCGTGGAGCTGCTCCCATGTGAGCGACTTTTTGACTTTGAGTATGCTGGCAATATTGCCCTGGTCTGTGACAGCTGACAAACATGCGAAACTGCACTGGACATATTAGCACTGACTGTCAGCTATTTCTGACTTTGTTTTGCTTTCTCGAAGTGCAATGTTTTCGCTCAAGATTGGCAGGAAGCGGCTCCTTCGCTGACCCTTGGTGGGGAGCAAGTAGAAACCGTTCAAAAGTTCGAAGACGTAGGTAGTTGTATCAGCGCCGCTGGAATTGAAGTGAAGGTCACAAACGGTATAGGCAAAGCACGAGGCGCTTTTGCTAACCTTCCACAACTATGGCGCCGGCAAGACCTCACTCTGCCTGAGGGACAGAGTGTATAATGCAGCCGTACGTTGGATGCTACTGTACGGTTGTGAAACCTGGCCCCTTAGATCAGCAGACATTAAGAGGATAGTTACGTTTGACCACCGGTGCCTAGCATTTTGGCTGATATCTGGTGGGAATATTTTGTGTACAATGAGCGTGTTGGACGCTTTAGTTAGGGCGCAGGAAAAAGAAGCGAATCGCGCAGCACCGTTATTTCACGTACCAGGGTTCGATGACTGGATCACGTGTTGCGCATGTCAGCCCACCGACTCCCGCGACGTGCATTGTATGCGCGCCGGGGTTGTGGATGGAAGGAGGTGGCCAAGCGATGACTTGGTCTAGAAGAAAGAACGTCCTTACTTCGAAGTTGGACTCGGTTGGATCTTCACGGCTTCCTGGATGGAGACTGAAGGACGATGAACACGTTTGTCTGCATAGCCTTGTTGATATGGCTAGGAGCCGACCTCAATGGCGTTTGTGTTGTGAGCTTATTTGTCCTTCCTCCTCCTGCTTAGCCTCCCTTCTAACCATTATCACATGTATTGGGTATATTGTAACCTCTATTTCGTAGCACAATAGCCAGCTATTATCTCTCGGGAACGATGTTCATCCGTTAATAGTTGATCAGCCGGCTTTTCCATCATGTTTTTTCCTTTAGTATTGCGGCACAAGAGATAAGGTGTTTTCCACCTGCAGCTAACGTGTACAATGATAATGATGACTTATCAAGGCAAGGAGCGCATCTCGACAAGCGATTCTGAAGCGCACGTATAGGGAACAATCTAGACTTCAAATCTACTGTAGCCTTACCTTTCCAAGCAATCACATTACAACACTTATACACAGAAAGATGTAATCGGAGTTGTACACCATATAATCACTAGTTAAATAATCAGCTTGGTGATAGATCCGAGGTAAGATTCAGGGCGATTCCGGAACAGAGTTGTGTTTCTTGGTAGAGGAATAAAGTCAATTAAACTACAAGGAGCCTTCAAACAAAATAAGTCAATCGTGATAGATCGTGCGTTAATAAGGCTCCTAAATAAGGTGTGCGTTGATTGCATATTCGCTCTTCGTCAAGTGCGGTAGCAATGTAACACATAGACGATCCATCAGAGTTCGATAAGCTCATCAACAACACTGCCTATCGTTGAAGAGCATGTCCTATCAATATCTTGTTATGAAATCTCTATAATATAACTCCAAGTGTTCGCTGGAAACGCTCCTTTGAGTTGAAATGGCGATATTATGGTAGGCAAAAGGCAGATACTACAGTACCAAGTGTCAGTAGTATAGAAGTATCAAGGAACCTAGACGGTAACGCGTCAACACCGGACCATACCAACGCATCAACAGAAGGGGAACGCTCGCGAGCCGCAGATGTATGCGCACTAGGAGTAGACACTGAAGCTTCGCGCACCACGCAACCAAAAGGAGAGTTCAGAGATGATTGGAATGGCTGCGATCAGTGCTGATGCATATGATTGATGTTTGCAGCAATAAATAACTCCGTTCACATCATGGGCCCTTAAGATGTGTCTCTGCTCAGTTGATACATCTGTAATGGAGGTCCTGTTAGACGGCCCACCTTAGATACAGCGCCTCTGAAAAGAGACGACGAGTTTTGCGAAGCTTCCGTATGTGCTCTGTGCATAAAGTGCAACTGCAATGATGAGCGAACACATACATGCACGCTGTTCCCATGAAGTCAAATATATTTTAGGTCGACCAGAATTCCCAGTTGCCTGTATGCGCTGTTGATGGCGTCATTATTCAAGAAGTAAACACTTTAAGCAGTAAAGAACGTGTGGCCATACAAGACTTTAATCACCTAGGGAGGATGAAAACACTAACAGAGAGGACCTCAAACCAGTGTGGTACGGCAGATCCAGAGAAACTCATCCAGGAACCTAACACGTACATGCTTTAGTCAAGCCTTGAATTTCGCAATGTCACCGACTGGTAACCTTAAAGGCTTCACCAAACCAGGTAAGCGCTGACAAGAATGGAGAGTTTGACGTAGAATCAGGCGGAGGAATATCATCCAGTGACTACTAATCATTGATGTCACCGTTATAATGAGTACTGATGAAAAAGAGAAAATGACAGCATCGTCCATGTCATCTAGTTGCAAAAAGTGATCATAGCCAGTGAGTAAAGCGGGGTACAGATGTGGGAAAAACTAAAGACACACAAAGCACAGAGGCAAGAACGTTTGTCATGGTGCTATTCACTATTTGTACCGAAGGACACTGCAAGCCACGAGTTGAGAACGACAATCGAGGGTGTATGTGGCTGGTTTGGTATGCACACACTTGGAGTAGGCCTAAGAAGATTGTGGCACCCTGCATGAACTGAAGCACATGGTTGTGAGATGGGTGGTCCAGACAGCATTAACTTTCACACTCATCGGAATCCCACGGGCACTCTTCCGATTTCATCTGTGGAAAGTCGACCGATTTGTCGTATTCGAAGGCCGGATTAGTCGGTGTAATGCGGTTGCGCTCGAATTCATCATCCATTAAGGCCTTTATCCTGATACATGGGGAGAGAATGACAAGTGTGGGTAACCATATACTGCTGCTAGGGTAGCTCACACACAAGAGAATGTGGTCAAGTTGTCAAAAGTAGATCAGTTTATTGAACAATGCACTAGCGACATTGACGCTATTTGTCCCTGGTTAGGGGCTATGCGAGCAAATCGTCCTTTCCAAAGATACTGTCGCTAGAAAAAGCGGTTAGTGCTATGGAAACGTGATGAAAAGGTGGTCGGGTGACTGTGCAGTGTACAATGGAGCAAAGGCTCCAGAGTTCAGTGGTAGATTCAGAAAATACACGGGAAAATATAGAGAAGCGGCTGTCTGCAATAACGTGGAATATCGGTAGTTCGGGTTGGTAGTTATTCATTTGCTTACGGCGCTGAGCAATTTGGATACAGATCTTTCACCACCAATCCAGGTGGTCTCATAAGGGGGCAGGGGCAAATAGTTCCCTGAAGTTCAGGGAAATCAAGACTTGGCTGAAGCTCGGCTAGTGCTAACAAGCTACTTTTCACTACGCAGTGAAGATGTCACTTCGACTGGTGGTGAAACGACTGGGACCAAATTGCTCAGCTCATGCGGTAAAGTGGTGATCTCCCAGTTACGCCGGATGCTGCTTCCAAGTTCCACTAAATCAGCAAATAAATCATCGTCGGATGTTGATCGCCATAAAACCGTTAGACCATACACTATCGAAAGATGAGGCAATACATATAAGACGAATGAAACAGCAAAAGCTATAAGACCGCAGAAACAACTGGTAAGCAACGGTGCGCAAAAAAGTTGAATCCGAGCCAAGTCCTTGGAATGAATAAGATCTTCATTTCCCACCGTCCCAATAGAAAAAATTCAAAAAGCCAAGACAGCGTTCATCGACACTCTAATCAGAAGAACAGTAGCAATGTGGATTGACATAAAGCATTACTTCGCTGCTTACTGATGCGCTAGTCGCGCATTCGTACACTCTTCGCATTTTGCTGTTTCTCAGCCGCACTTTGTCACACACCACTGGACCGACACTTATTCGTTTTGCTATTATAAGTCCAACTTAGTGATACCATTTTCCCAAAACACTATAAGTGCATCCTACACTTACCCTGAATTGTAAATTTGTGGCATTGTTTCACCAATATCCAAGCACAAAAGTTGTGTAATTCCAGCCGTCGGAGATATTGTTTAGTCGCAACCGATAGAGCAATTCAACGACGTTCGAACAAACTCCCACTCGTCCAAATGCAACATTATGCGAGGCAGCTACAGGGTAATTTACGCTTCTCCCCAGAGAATTCTTTTAGTCTCACGACAAGTTCACCTTGGGGCGATTTATAGGCTCAACCAAACCGTCATGTGATCTGCCTCACATGCAAGCTGACGCATTCGACCGGCACGCCAGACAGCAGAGTTTGTGGTCACACAATTGCGAAATAAACCCTGGGTATAACCTTGCTATCGATGACCGAAACAGCAAAGCAACCGCCAACCATCATGGGCGAGTCATTCTAATGGTTCGTAACATTCGATGAACGAGCGCGATGCCTAGCGTGCCTCAGACAAAAGTTGCATGTGGATCATGTGCCACGTTTGTCAAAGTGGGCAATAAGTGTTCTGACTGTTGCGAGACCTCCCATGCGGAATGCGTCCGAGTGAAAGTTAGCCAGGCCTAAACCTTAAACAAAACTAATTTCTTTCTAGTTCTGCGTGGAATGCACGTCTATCTCACTGGTAAAAAGCATCTCCCATTATCTCAGTAGTACGATCAGCTACTAGCTAATTTTGAGGAAATGATGGCCACAAAAGTCACCACGGTTGGGGTAAGCATAGTGGACTGCGCAACCCAGGACTTCCTATTAAGTGCTGCTTCAATCCTAAGGAGAACGGCTGGTAACACCGTAAGCAAAACGACACCAATCTCCACAAAAATAAATTGCAGTTCTAGTACCAGAAGCGGCTCACATTCAAATAATGCGATTCTCAGTTCGATCAGAGTAACTGTAGGTAAGGCTTTGTCCAATCTCCCGACTGAGTGCACCGCAAAAGAGCAAGCCGGTACTAGTGAAAGTTGGATTATCGTTGCTTCCAATAAGGGCTGACACTTAAAATTAGCAGCACCCCCACTGAATAGGAAACTGAGGAACGAAGCGGAGTTCTCTTAATGTAAACACCAACGCTTTCCCGCGGATCATCACCGTGCATTACAAACATAACCCGTAATATATCGAAAGATGCTAAGAAAAAACAAAATACCTATCGATTATCATCTCACCAGCCGTGATAAACCTATTCAATAAATCACTTTCTGAAGGATCTGTCCCCAACGACTGAAAATGCTCGATAGTGAGACCGCTTCTCAAGGGTGGTGATGCGACTAAAATAGAGAACTATAGACCGATCCGTTTGAGTTCCATATTATCCAAAGTTCTCGAGAAAGCTGTGAAAAAGCGTCTGCTGTCGCTCTTCGAATCGATGGACGTATTGACGCCAGCGTAACACGCCTTTACAAAAGGGAGATCCTGCATCACCAACTAGATGTACGCAAACCACCAGTGGGTACTAGCTCTCAATGAACAGAAGGATGTTGACGTGGTGTACATCGACTTTAGTAAGGCGTTTGACAGAGTAAACGACGAGGTACTCCTTGGTAAACTGAGGACATACGGAATCGGTGGCACGTTACTTCAGTGGTTACACGAGTTTATCGTGGGACGAAGGTTTAGAGTACAGGTCAATGACTACCTGACAGACTGGTTCCCATCGACCAGTGGCAAGCCTCAAGGAACTGTACTTTGGCCAGTATTATTTCTTATTCACAGTAACAATCTTCCGCAGCAGCTCCAGCCACCATGTGCTCTGTTTGCAGATGATTTGAAAATCTGGAGGATCACTGTAAACCAGGACGACTGCGCTCGCCTCCAGCATGACTTAGAGCGACTGCCAACATGGTCCGCTGAAATGCAACTCTCTCTTAACATAAGCTAGTCGGAGTTTATCAGTATCACCAGACGTCCAGCCACTCGATCATACACCTTGGACGGCCAGTTGCTCCATCCCAACACATCTGTCAGAGACTTAGGAGTTCTCTAGCGACATGATATGAGATCACTAGAAATTGTACCGTGCGGGACTTCGTATGCTCTGGGCATTACGACGCAGTTTCTCCACATGGTCCGAAGAAACCGTCCCTCGTCTATTCACCTCGCTCATTAGACCAATCTCTGAATACCGTTCCCCAGCTTATCATCCGATAACCCAGTGGGAAACTGAAAAGCTGGAGAAAATACAGCATATCGCAACTAAAATGATACCCGGTCTACGAAGGCTTCTGTATGAAAAATGTTGTGAAAGGCCCGGAGTCTACACACTATTCTACCGCCGAGTAAGAATTGACCTTATTATGACCCATCGAGTACTACACTTGAATCATTTCCCCATACTGCGGCCAATATTCCACCTGCGTGAACCCTATAACATCCGAGGACATCGTTACAAACTCAGGGTCCCCAGCATGAACAAAGTATCACATCAGCTTTGTATCGAGCGAAGAATCGTAAACTTATGGAATACACTACCAGAAGGATTAATAGTGGCCGATTCTGTGAATTGCTTTAAAACACGTGTCGATGATCATTTCGGAAAACTGTGCTTTTGTGAAACGATGCACATACAATGCCAAAAGAAGACATTGTATGCCCGGAAATAATGACACTAGTACAAATTTCTAACCGAACAAGGATAAACGATTAACTGACCAGACACAACCGCTGATGTTTCAAAACTAAATGTTTTTGATTTTTCGTAATTCGATAGAGTTGTACAGTAACCTTTCTACTTGCTCTTAAATACAGTCTCAGGCTCATTACTGTGTACTGGGCTTCAATGTCCCAGAATCAACGTCGACGTCAATTAAAGGCAGACAGCTGGACGACATCAACCAATGGGACGTCATTGGTAACCTAATGGGCGCTGTGTTAATACATGTAGACGTAGTGCGAAACACGGCGCACTCCAAAGCGAAGCATTACGGGGAGCCAAGGATTCTGCGCGTGAGGTTGAACACCATCACTGAAGTAGAATCAGATGTGCTGTTGACAGGTCGACTCAGAAATGAACACTGCTCCATCCGTGTCATTCCAGACATCCCATGGGGCAAGCGTTGCCGAATTAACTGCAGATTATAAGACTACCGGAAGAAAACACTCACTAAAACCATTCTTGTCGATGACATTCCTGAAAATGAAGCATGCAATGAGCATGAAATAACGACTAATGATAAGGAACAATGGTGTTGTATTCGTGAAGCACTCTCACCGGGTGACGTGCTATTGAAATCGGTGTCAGAGCTGCGATCTTCACTAAATTACAAGTGTTGAAGGTTGTCCCACAGTCAAAAAATATGGTAGTACGGCTACTGAAAGCTGGTACATGTTTCGTTGCAGGCTTCCATCTGAGTTTCGGCTGAAGGCAGGGAGCGATGTGCCCTCCAGAGATGAAGTCACCCAAATAACCGAACGAGTTGGGAAGTACAACAGAATAGTGCACCCGCGGTGTGTCTGATGAGTCCATACAATCTGTTGATGAAGTGAATGACCAGTACGTGGAGTAGATTTGGGACTAAGTATGCAGCCGATGAATATGACGTGGAACCAGTCGCCAAGTACCCACCGAAAAAACGATTAGTCGCCGGCCACACTTTGCTCGGCGAAACTTCATGTTTGAATTGCAGAATCTCCGACACCGCTGAAATCTGAGAAACTTCCATACGTGTACGCCAACGCCCAAGGACTCCTCAGTAAACTTACAGAGCTTCGAGTCCGTCAGGCCGCAAATACGTAGGATCCCAGCAGAGGAGGTGGGGTCCTTCTTTAGTACCGCAGTGACCTGCAATGTACAACAGTTGATGATCCAGAAACGTATGTTACCGACTCACTCTGGTACCGCCTCCGATTAAGATACGACGCATGTCTCGTAGCTGTCGTATACCACCCCCATCGCCCATTC